CTATTTTTACAATTAAAATATCTTATAGTAAATAGTTTGTTTGTGAGCATAATACAATCAGTATTTGAAATGTTTGCACTTACAGACTAAAACTTCTGGTTAATATAGGGTAAGTAGGTTTGAGTGGCTGAGAAGAAGCATGTTAATAGCTAACAGTGAAGCTCACGATACTACATCAGTAAAGATTTAATTTAAATATAGGACTTTGAATATGACTCTTGTTGACAACAGTGTCTTTTAAGCTGTAACCCAAAGTTAACATTTTCCTTATCTAAAAGTGTATTTCCAATAGATACCTCTTCACACAGAAATCCGATCTTCCTCATGCATTTGCTTACGAGATTTGCATGCCACTAGCCTTGAAGTAACTCCTTCCAAAATTCACGTTTGATGTGAAATGTGCTAGTGCATGATGATGCCATCATGTGAAAAAAGCCCTCCACAAATAGGAAGACAACACAATCTCCATGTACAGTATCTCCTCCTATGCACTCTTGATAACTTCATTCTTTGAATTAGCAGGACAAAAACAAATGTGCACTGGAAGTGGGAAGGATGGGTGGGAATGTGTGAGGAGGTATCCATCACAAATGGTACAATCCCACACTGAAATGATGGAAGAGCTAGTACACAAGTTTACACAGATGAGCTCCTTTTAGAAAGCTTCTCTGGTAGAAGTCGATATCAAGCAGGACACAAAACAGCCAGGTGATATAGATAATGAGAGATGAACATGTGTGGAGTCGTCCACATGTCTGCTTAGAGGTTCTTGTCCGTAGGCTGATGAAAATGGAAAGCAAGAGAATGAGTCAGGTGATAAAACAAAGTGTGAAGATGTGTGTGAAATAGCCTGTGAGCATCTACACCCAGAGATGAATATACCAACTGAAGGGATCAACAATCCCATTCTGTAAGGGTAAAAGGAGAGAGGTCCCTGGAAGAAGAGTGTCCCAGGGTAGGGACAGACAATGGTGAGGACCCTGAAAGGGAGAAGTCTGTGATAATCAACACTGAACAGAACACAGGTCCCACTTGGATCCAAACAATCATATAGGTGGGAGACAGAAGGAAGGAAGACAGGAAAGTAAGGTTACATTCCAAAGTGGTTAAAAGTTTTAGGAAGGAAAGATCAGTCCGGGGAGAGAATATAAGTGTCATGACAGAGAGTGTGAAAAGCACCAATG